TCTTCCTGCCACTTTTAGCCTCTCAGCCCCGTTCACTTCTGCCTCCTCCTGCCTTTCCCTGCTTCCTATCTCTGTCTCTCTCTTCGCCTTCTGTTCCCAACCTTTCCTGCCCCCCCTTCCCTCTGTGTTCTCCAGCTTTCCCCCACACCCTCGCCAGCTGCCCATTCTCCCTCCACAGTCCTCTGGCCTTCCACCAACTTACCTGCAGCTCCTTTGGTCTGCCTCACAGGTTTCCTGGCAGCCAGAGGCCTTCTCCAGCTCCCAGCACCAGCAGCCCCTCAGACTGTAGCTTTCTGAGCTCCCCAGCAGTCCCTCTCCAGTCCCCCTGGTTCCCAGAGCCAGCCCCCAGTTTCCTCTGTACCTTCTCTAGCTCCCTTGTACCCTCTGTCTCAGTTTCCCTCTCCCCGCTTACCTTTTGGCTCCCCTGTAGCTCTGGCTTCAGTCCCAGCCTCTGTGCCGGCTTCTCTCCAGCATCACTCCCCTGTTCTGCAGGCTTTAGGCACCATCCTTTAATCAATTAAGGTCAATTAACCTAAAGTAACCCCCAAGCCTCAGTTCTTCAGCCCAGCTCTCCCTAGTGTACTGGTTCTAATCCTGGTCCCGGCAACTTTCACTTCCTACACTTCCACTTTCTTACCTTAATCTTTCACCAGGTATCCCAAGTACACCAAGCACATACATACATACACATCACAACACCCAAGTTAGGAACTCACCTGTGTGTATGTGTAGGTGAGTGGTATGTATGTGAACTGATATACATATATGTCATTGTGTGCATGATATACAAATTAGTGATCTGTGTATGTGTATTGGGTGTGCAGGTATTGATAATTGATTCTGGTGTAATCTTTGGACTGTATAGTGTGTGTAGGTGTTTGAACTGGTGACAGGTGTGAATATGCCTAGGCTGGTAATTGATTGATTGTGTGTGTGTGTGTGTGTGTGTGTATGCACCTAACTGATTTCTGTGTTTGTGTATGTGCAATTGTACACTGTGTCTTCCTGTATAGCAGTGCAATTTTGAGATCCTGGGAGTTGGCCTGACCCCACAGGGCAACACATTTATTTAGGACCTCACTTTGGAAATACTAAATTTAATGCACATTAGAAAAAGCACATTAGTTCATATGTACTGCATTGGTTCATCAATACACTATTATACATTGAAAGCTTTAATTGGTATATAAAATGCAGAGCTAAGTTGTTCTTTCAGGGTCTTTTTGGTGTTTTTACTCTAAGTAAAGTTATTAATGACTGAATGTTTTTGTAGGATTAAGGCTATCAGGGGTCACATTCAAGAAACTGAAAATTAGAGTGTATGTGAAGACAGAAGTTATATAAAAGAGAAGGAATCAATTTAATTAATTTAATACATGAGGAACATAAGGTTCCATAATTGCATAATGTGGGGAAGTTGTGCTGGTGCATGGAGGTTAGGATAAAAGCTAGAAATGGATGCAGAGGAAGTTAGTTTAGAAATAATAATTGAAGGAGCTGATACTGCCCCAGGAATCTGAAAGAGAAGAAGCACTAGCAATTGGTTACATTAGAGGGAAAAGAGGTTAAAGAGGAGAGCAGATTATGATAGCTGAGTACGGCAGAGCACCTTTTGGATACCTGCTACTTTAAGGGTTGGAGCAGGAAGCTGATGCCTGCCACTTTAAGGGCTGAAGCAGGCAGCTTCCAGGTACCTGATGAGGGCAGCCATTTTCCAACATAGGCCAGCCAGGCAAGGCAAGTAGTTAGCTGCTTGCAGTCAAGGTAGCAGCACCATCCAGCTCCCTCACAGCATGGAAGGTTCTGGAGGTAAGGGCAGGAGCTAGGGGGATGGTTTGGAGGCTCCTGGTCCTGGGTAAGACCTAAAACTTCACCCTGCCAGGGATGGGTGGCTTGGTGGGACTCCTGGTGGTGTGGGAGCCCCCAGGAAATACCAGGATGGTTACCTCCCCAGTGAAAGGCAAGTATAGGGCACCTTCTAATCCCTGGTGCAACTAAGTTTGGACTGGGGGAGGCCAGACTCCTGGTGAGCTCTGAGGCAGGGCCAGGGTCAAGAGGAGACTAATCGTAGAGTCCTGTGGCTGCAGAGTGGGAGCCAGAGAGAAACTCCTGAGAGTAGTGGCTCTAAGAGGGGCATGGTGAAGAGGCCCTGGTGAGGGGACTGAGAGTGAGAAGTGAGAGAACCCAGCATGGGGGTGCTGAGACCATGAGTTCCAGTAGGGAGTGAGAATCTGACATAAGGCTCTGGAGCTTGGGTCCCCATGCCAACCACTGAAGAAACATCTGTGAGGCATGTGACAAGTAGAGGGGAGGTCCGAGTATGTACTAAGACCCTGGTGATCAGGAGGGTGAAGAAAATGGGTAGCCTCCCACCCTAGTAGCAACTTTCATTTTTTTTTATATTAAGGCCTGGCAGGAAAGTGAAGTGAGAGGTTACCCCAGAGACAGGCGGGTGGCTGGTGGAGACCCAGTGAAGAGGCCACCTTGTTACACTGAGGTATGGAATAAAGAAGATACAGTAACTTAGAGGCTATGATGATGGGCAGAGGATGAGAAAGGGCGTGTCAACACATGCTTTTATGTGCTCCTAAACTTAATGCACATTAGCCTAATGCACGTTAAGGCAATTTAGGCAAGTGCACACTAATGCATATTAACACAGGTGAGCAGACCGACTTAGGACTAAAGTTAGTCTCAAATCAATGAATATACTATGATAATATGCATTAGTGTGTCTCTACACATTAGCTAATGAAATTTAATTAAGGCTCAAATAGCCTTAAATCACCATTTTCAAGGTTTTTTAAGGGTGTGCACATGTAGACATATGCCCATAATGTGCCTTAAATTGTGCTAATGCACATTAAATGCATATGTATAGACATGCACAAAGTGAATAAAATATAGTAGAGTGGAATCATCCAAGATCTTAGCTGTCAAGTATGAATTAACACATTTGCTTCAAAGATTACCAAATGAGTAATGGTTTAGATATGTACTGATCTGTTCCTGTTCTTATGCTTGAAGGCCAGCCTGGCTGAAATGCATAGATCTATTGAAAGTATAATTCAGGGAGTTCTCAACCTTATGGCTCAAGACACATCTTGAAAAATGCTAGCTTTTAGATTTCACTCATTTCTTGACTATGGAAGAAAAATAGAGCAATTCTTCTTTTGCAAAGAACTCAGAATTTTTTTTAATATTTTGGATTTCTATTTGAAATCTCTGGGTTTATCTTGTGAATAATATGCAAGTCTTTGCATACCTAACATGGCTAATATTGTATAGCACCTTGTGGTACTCTAGTTGAGAATCACTGGCACGATTCAACTGAAATGTCTGTACCTTTTGTACCTCGCAACTCACAGCAACACTCTCCTTCCACCCTGTGTAAGGGGGACAGGATAAAGAATGCATACATATTTGACTGTTAACAACAAATATATTTAAGCATTAATAAAAAAGCAAGTCAACCTTTTTTTTAAAACCTCAAATGATAACTGTATAAAACAACAGTAAGACTGTACTTATCAGAACTAGAACTGAAATAATCTTGCAACTGGAAAGTCTCATTAGGAAGGGTATTTTTATTTACAAACAGGAACTCAGGATGTCATATCAATATTAGAGCTGTTTGGTAGCTTTTCTCACTGACCTTGCCAAGTCTTGGGCGTTTGTTATCTTAATGGACTTTGTAAACAAGCAAAATGCCCTCTTTATGAAGCTTAGGCAAGACATTTTAATAGGAATCCGTGTCTTGAACATGCTCCACATTTATTGTGAATGTGGACTGTGTCTATGAGCAGAAAACCCAAAGGAGCACCCCAAGAATAAATGACATCTACCCTGTAACCCAGGGGCAGGCAATTATTTTGGGCAGAGAGCCACTTACACAGTTTTGGCAAGCTGTTGAGTGCTGCATGTGTAGCCCTGCTGCTTGGCAGGTGCCCCACCCCCTTGTCACCATCTTGGGACCAATGTCCCAATGTCTTGGGCCCAATGTTTCAGGGCCAGCACCGGTGGGGTCCAGAGAAGGGTGCAGGCTGGCAGGTGTCTGTGGAGCTGGCTGGGCTGCACCAGAAGGGAGAGGGGGGAGCTGGCCTAGCTCCATAGGGTCCCTGCTAGCCGAGACCCCTGTACTCCTGCCACCCTGCTCTGGGCCCCACTGACACTGGCCCCAGGATGCTGGTGTGGGCCCCGTGCAACTGCTCACTCCCAGTGCCCCCCAGCCCTGCAGTACAGGCGGGGCGCAGCATGCAGCCCTGACCCCCTGCTTGCCGGCAGGGAAGAAGCTAGAGCTGAGCATAGGGAAAAGTGGCCCCTCCCCTACCCTGTGGTTGGGGCTCCCTGCTACAGCTGCTCACAGCCTGCGAGTGGCTGCAGTGTGCGCCTCTGGGCACCTGAAGGACAGAACCTGGAGCGGGGTTGGCAAATGCTGTTTGTAGCTCAGGGGGCAGGCAGGGGGAGCACACTGAATACAGTGCTCCACTGGACCAGCCCTGTGCACTTGCTCCAGTGTGGCTGAATCTGATCTGCAGATTGGCCCAGAGAATCTCACCTCATCTGCAAAGCTGGATGAGTTTAACACCCCAGATATAACCCTTATTAGTTATGATGAATATCAGTATTCACAGACAGAGTGCATAAAAAAAGAGCAAACATTGTGACTGGCTAAACATATTGTTGTCAAAAGATAAGTGGCAGAAATTGTATCTTGTTTTTTTGGCTAAAACTTCTGTATTTGTTGATGATCATTTTCATTCCTTACATAGAAGCAGCATTACACACAGATACAGATTGCAACACAACTCCTAGTGTTACACTGAATTTCATTAGAAAGAGTCAATGATTAATTTTTAAAATGATATTTCAAACAAATGATTGTATCTTATTTCAGCCTTTAAACTTTGTTTATCAAAAGCATGTTAGCAGCTGGAAGGTTAAAATATATTTAAGGAAAATCTTAAAATAGATTCTCTCCTCTACTGTGATACAAGGAGATTGTAGACATTCAATCATTTCAAAGGAGTTTCAAAAGAAACCTCTATGGCAGTTTTGAAGCTGTGTAGTTATATGTTATCATCTAATGCAAGTAGCTAGATCAGAATGTAATATTTGTGTCATCACTGGATATGAAAATGACTGTTAGTAGAACAAGATTTTATGTTTGCTACTGTCTTTATGTGTTAGATTTAGAGAATACCAGTTGAGGACAGCTGCACTGAGAGAGCACTGAGCCCTTGCATCTAGATCCTGTCCTTGCTATCATATACTAACTGATCTGACACACTATGAAACTACGGCCTTTGCCCTTTTAGTATGTCTGATTTAGCTTCTCTGTTGAAAATGTTAAGCCAATGAGACCATCTCTGAACTTTGTTATGCCAGTCTAATTCCAGAAAACTCTGGTGAAGTAGAGTTTAGTAGAATTATTTTGCATTTAGAGTGAAATGGAAATCTGATTCAGTAAGTGTAAATTCTGCATCTGCCAAAAATCAATGTACAACTTTCATTAAAAATGAAATAGTTTGGTCAGAGTAGCACAAACTGCTCTCATAGCTGGCTAGAAATGGGATATTAATAGATGAGCAGTATGATGAAAAATATATTGTGTATACTTCAGGTTTTTGGAAGACAATAAGTTGTTTACTAGTGTAACTCCACATGGTATAAAAATAGTAAAGAAATTCATGGAAAAAATTGAAAATTCATACAAACTGGGTATGTCTACACAAGAGCTTAATGTGCAGTAGCTTGCCTGACAAAAACCCTGCAAATAAGCTACTACACAGTATTAGTAGTATTAGTATTAGTAGTATTAGGCTACTGCACAGTAATCATCACTTAAAAGCTGTGCACCGGTGCTACTGTGCAGTAACTACATTTACTGCACATTTAGTTAGTACTCCATAAGCAAGTACTAAACTAAATGTGCAGTAACTACTGCACAGTAATGAACATGTAGATGCACCCACTGATTATGGGAGAAAATGATCAGGTTCTATAGCTTTGATTATTCTGAAGGACCCACCTTTTGTATTTTGATCCTCAGTTAATATGAGCTAAACTACCTACTCTGTGTTTTTCTGATATTGTTTGAATGGGCTTGAAAAATGAAACTGCTTGTTGGAAAGCTGACACTGGTGATCTCTCTCTCCATTTTTTTTTTTTGCCATCATTATGACTGCATACATCTCAGCAATTCACAGCGGATGCATCTATATGAGATGCTTTACTCCACAGTAGAGCAGTTTACTGCACAGTAAGTATATGCATGTAAAGAAATGCATGGTTACTGCACAGTAAACTGTTCTACCCTTGAGTAAATTTTCTACCTGCAAATGCAAGTGGCAAATTTACTCACAAGTAGTTATTGCACAGTAGAGTATATGTAGATGCCAACTGGGAGCAAATTTGCTCTCAGGCATCCCTGCCACTAGGGGGCCAGTTTCAGACCTAGCCCCAGGGCCTAAGGCTGGGATGACTCCATGGCAGCCCAAGACCAATGCCCTTAAAAGCCTGTAGGCACTGTGAACCCTGGGGCACGTGCAGGCATCCTGTGGCCACAGCTGACCACTGCATCCCCCTGCACAGGCTTCAGGCCAGCTCTGCCAGCCTACCTGTACCCTGGCACCACTCCCTGGCAGTACAGTGCTCGGAAGTTGCCAGGGCTGTAAGGTGCCATCCAGCCCTGTAAGGTGTCAGCACCTGGGCCCAGCTGCAGCCAACTTGTGGCCACTAGAAACAGCACCAGATGGATGTAGACAACTTTCAGCAGCCTGTCTGGACCCTGAAGGTGCTGTGTGGCACTGCCTCCCTGCACACTGCTAGTCTTATGCCCTGACCCTGTGCTTGGTGCTACAGGAAGCTTCCCAGACCCAGCAGCATCGGGACAGCCACTCAGAGGCCCAGAGAGCCATCATGGGAGCCATGATGGTGTCTTTCCTGATGCCACATACCACCTTGTGAGGTTTCAATTGGTTGCAGGAGGAGACTAGGGACCTTGTGGCACTATGGAGCAAGGCTGAGGTGCAGTTCACATGGGGAGGGAATTCCAATGCACATATGTTTGAGGGGCTGTCAGACCAAATGCAGAAGTATGGTCCTGACCAGTTAGCATAGCAGTGCTGCCAGTGGGGACTGACCCAAGCCCCTGGTCATACCAGACCTGCCCACGTGGTAATCCCTGCACTGGGAAGAGGCACCTCCCAACCCCAGACCCTGGCTCCAGCTCCTGCCCTTATTCTCACTCCCCACCTGGCTGGGCTGTGCTCCCCTAGCCCCCAGGCTCCCCCCTCCCCC